TCTGGGCCCTCTTGGGAGGGGCTCTGTTACAGGCTAATGTCAGCCACTGCCTGTACCCTGCCCAGGGCCACTCGGTATGAGTTACAAAGTGATCTGCAAATGGTTGCCACTTGTGTTAGGTTTGGAGGTGCTTGGGAGAACCTAAGCTGTGAACCAAGGTCAGCAGCTGCTAGTGCCAGACTTGGGGATACTTAGCAAAAAGTACAGGGCATAGTGAGGACAGATGCTTTTTGTTTGGGATCAGTGAAGCTTTGAGAGATTTTAGGAAAGTCCACAGCATGAGCCAAGACAGGTCATTAATATGGAAAAGCAACTGGAAGTGACTTGGGTGGGCCCACAAATTGGGTAGGAGCAAAGTCTCAGGAAATCACCAGGTCAAGGCAAATGGTGTTAGCCAGGTCGATGGAGACTCAGACATGACACCTGCCTGAGTCTACATGCTGGGTCAGGAGAGGGCTCAACAAAGGAACAATGGTTTCTGCCAGTACTTCTGTCTGGGGGAGGCTGCCCCTCCAGCTCTTGCCCCAAAGCCAAACAACTCAGCTCTTCCCTGTATGTCCCTGGTGCCTTTCAAGCTGCTGCCCCAGTGCTTGAACTCAGAGCAAGTGAGTCTATCAGCATGTAAGTCTGAGTGTGGGCCCTTTAAGAAGCATGCCGGAGATTCCAGCAGCCCTCTGTCTCACTTAGCCACAATCTCCACTGGTTTTCATGGCTAAAAGTTATGGAGACTTCTCTTTTCGGGCACTGGAACCCTGGGCTAGAGAGCTTGGTGTGGGGTTGGGCCCCCTCTCTCCTCAGGGGAGACCTCTGCAGCCGAGATATCCCTCCCTATTTTTAACTGCCACTTATGGGTGTGGGACCAGCCCGTTCCATTTCTCTACCCCTCCTCTCTACTGCTTGTTTCTTCTGTATATCCTTAGTTATAGGACTTCTATTTATCTAGACTTCAGGCAATTTTCCATGATGATTGTTCTATAGTTTAATTGTAATTTTGATGTGATCATGAGGGAAGCAAGCACAGCGTTTATCACTATGCTATCTTGATCGGAAGCCAGACTCAATGCTCTTGACACCTTGATCTCAGAACTGTGAGAAAAAAATTTCTACCTTCCAGAACTGTGAGAAAAAAATTTCTCCTATTTAAGCCACCAGTATGTGGTACTTTTTTTATGGCAGCTCTAAAATACAGATTAAAAAATATATTCCATGGATGTATTACCCAGCAAGGAAATTGAAAATTTCTATAAATAAAGCTATTTCAAATTGTTAAAAGATTCAATTAATCAAGAAATTGAAATAAACAAGTTTACATGCACCAGATAATAGATTCTCATACTATATTAGGAATGAAATGACAAAACTCATCTTCCTCTCACTAATTAATAGGGCAACCAGCAAATATCAGTAAATACATAAAATATTTGAACAACATGATTAGCAGATTTAGAACACCACATCGAATAACTACAAAATGATTAACAAACATAAAACAATGCACCCAATTACAAAATACACATTTTTAAGTGCAGCCAAAGAATTTATAAAAATGGCCATTTAATCATAAAGCAGATGTCAAAATTTCAAAGATTAAAATTAATCAGTTTATAAAATCACCATGTTGTACACTTTAAACTTACACAATATTATGTGTCAATGATATCTCAATATCACTGGAAAAATAAATTAATAAAATCTTGGAAAATTAGAAAAACAATTTTCTTTGAACCTAATTCATTTAAGCTAGAAATTATTTACACAAATATAAACATTTGGAAATTAAGAAATATACTTCTACATTAGGCATGAGACAAAATGAAAATTAAAAAATGAGTTATACTAAAATAAGCTATATGTCAAAACTTGTGGAATAAAAGTAAATTAGAATTTAGAGAAACAGATGAAAGAAAAAATATAAAAATCAAAAAGTCGAAAGTTGGCTTTTTAAAGATTAATACATTTTATAGTAATCCGATGACATTGATCAAGAAAAAATGAGAACATACTTAAAATAACCATCTCAGTTGACATCACAAACTCTGTTTCAGAGATTCAAAGAAAAGCAAAGGATGTCATAAATTTGTGCACTATATTCCATCCTCTCTTGTGTACTTAGAATTTTCTCTGCAACAGTCATTCCCTCTTCTTTATATCAATTTTCTTTCTACTGGATTATTAGCATTAGCATAAAAGCATACTATAGTTTTTCTGATCTGAAGAAAAAATTTTTTTGCTCCTCTTCTAACGCCAGCTATCACTATCTATTTATATTCCATTTTGCAATAAAATGCCTTAAAAGAGTTGTCCATACATTCTGTCTCCAATTTCTTGCTTCTCATTCTTTCTTAAATATATCCTGATCAGGCGTTTTCCCGATCCCTTCCCCTTCCACTGAACCTGCTTTTGTCAGAGTTACCAAAAATCTCCACATCGCTAGACCCAATGGTCATTTTTCAAGGCGACCTTATTTGGTCCATCATCAGCATTTGACACAGATGGTCATTCTTCTTATTGTACTTTCTTCAATTGGCTTCCAGGATAGTACATCCCTTGATTCTCACCTGCATCACTGGAGGTGCCTCTTCAGTTTTCTTTGCTGCTTCCTCTTCTTCTCCCATAATTCTTCATATTGGAGAGATCCACGGCTCAGTTCCTGGCCCTTTTCTCTTCTCTCTCTCCATTCAATCCTTGGGTCCAGTCTCATCCTTTTAAATTCTCCTCCCGAACCTCTCTTCTGAACTCCAGACTTGTAATGAATGGCCAATCACGGTAACTTATATCTCTATTTGGATGTTTAATTTCCAAATTAATATATCCAAAATGAGCTCCTGAATTTTTTCCCACATACCCCCTCTATATACAGCTTCCTCTCATCACAATGTGCCATGGCCAGCATTCCATGGAGCCTCTCATGGCTCTTCTACACTCCCCTCCCCAGTAGACCTCCATGTCTGCATCCTGGGAGGTGTCTCTCAGGGCTCCTGTATTGTGACCAGCCTCAGAGAACAGTTGCCCCATACTCAGTGAAAGGGCAAAGTGTTCGCAAAATTTCTCTCTTTTGTGGCTAGATGATATTCCATTGTTATATATGCCACATTTTCATCATCCACTGACAGATTCAATGTCAATGGATTTAATATCTATCCTGTTGATGGACTCTTAGGTTGTTTTTATGTCTTAACCATCGCGAATATTGCTGCAATGAACATGAGAATGCAGTTAGCTCTTTTAAATAGTGATTTCATCTCCTTCAAATAGATACCCAGAAGTGAGATTGCAGCATCATATGGTAGTTCTATTTTTAATTTTTTGAGGAATCATCATACTGTTTTCCACAGTGGCTGCACAAATTTACATTTCCACCAGCAGTGCAACAGTGTTCACTTTTCTCCACATTCTCACCAGTACTCATTATCTCTTGTCTTTTTGGTAATAGCCTTTCTAACAGGCATGAGATGATATATCAGTGTGGTTTTGATGCATTTTCTGATGATTAGTGATGTTGAACCCTTTTTCATGTACTTGATGGCCATTTGTTAGTCTTTGTTGGAAAAATATCTATTCAAGTCCTCTGCCCATATTTTAATTTGTAGGATTTTGTTTTTGTTTTTGTTTTTTGCTTGAATTGTATGGGTTCCTTATATATTTGGGATATTAACCCCTTATCAGATATATAGTTTGCAAATACTTTTTTCCCATTCTATAGGTTGCCTTGTCATTTTATTGATTGTTTCTTTTTATGTGGAGAGACTTTTTAGTTTGATGCAGTCCCACTTATTTATTTTTCCTTTTATTGCTGTGCTTTTAGTGTCATAACCAAAAAATTCATTGCCAAGACCAATGTCAAGAAAATTTTTTCCTATGTTTTCCTCTAGGACTTTATGGCTTTGGGTCTTACACTGAAACCTTTAATCCTGTTCAAGTTATTTTTTTTGAGTGGTGTAAAGTAGGGGTCCAGTTTTATCATTTTGCATGTGGATATCCAGTTTTCCCAGCACCGTTTATTGAAGAAACTATCCTTTCCCCATTGAGTGTTCTTGGTTTCTTTGTCAAACGTTAGTTGACCATATACACATAGGTTTATTTCCAGTCTCTCAATTCGGTTTCATTGTTCTATTGTGTCTGTTTTTATAATAATACCATACTGTTTTGAGTGCCATAGCTTTGGAATATAGTTTGACATTGCAAGTGTGATGCCTCTAGATTTGTTCTTCTTTCTCAAGATTTCCTTGGCTTTTGGGGGTTTTCGTGGTACCATAAGACTTTTAGAATTTTCTTTTCCAATGTGCTCAATCTACACAGGTCTTTCTTTAAATAAGCTAAGCCAGGGACCCTGCTCCTGCTGCTTTGCATGCATATAATACCTTCACATGGATATCTGCTTGTCTTTTTTCATTCTCATCATTCAGATCTCAGTTCAAATGCTACATCCTCCTCAGAAAGCCTTTCCTGTCCATTTTATAAACTCCATTCTCCAGCTCTTTCCTGATCCATTATTGTATTATTTTGTTCTAAAACCTGCCACTTTCTGAAATTATTTTATCAATCTATTTTTGTATGGTCAGATTTTCTTTATTGAATATAAGTCTTGTGAGAATAAAAAACATTTCTGCCATTTTCACTGTTCTATTATTAGTACAAAGAAAAACGCCTGAATAGAAATTTAGTAAATCTTTGTTGAAGGTCTATACAAAGAAGTAAAACAATAAAGAAACGGGTGTATTTAAAACACGTGTTTTGTCCACCCCCTTGCTGTTTCACTTTTACCAAAGTTCTTTTTGAAGCATAAATTAGCAATGCCAATAAACTTATAAGGATGGAAAGATTTTATTAACACTCAAGCAAAAAGGAAAGACAGTGAACATGATGCAGCCACTGAATAGCCCTTGTCCAACTTCTTTTCTCCATGTAGAAAGGCTCAATCCTGAACTCTTCTGTTCTCACACTAAGAGTATTTATGGTTTTACATTCATGAACTGATTATCTCACTGACTCTTTTTCAGCAGTAAGAAGTGGTTTGGGTCCCTCTGAAAGCCACTGTATCAATCTGTCTGGAATTTGCAGGAGAGACATCTGCAAAGTAATAGAGGATGAAGTTTCTGGCTGCCGAAGAAGGTGGAAATGCTGCAGAGCATGGTGGGTCCTCATACCAGTTCCCACACCACAAATCTATTCAGATTATATGGAACCCAGGAAGCGCAGAATAAAATAAAATGAAGAAAAGTGTCGAAAAGAAAATTCTTTGCATCTGAAAACTTTGGAATATACATATTGATTTATTCCAGCTTTATTTCAAATTTTTATTATCCTTTGTCAATAAAAATAAATAAATATCGATTTCGAATCTACTCAGATGGTACTTCTTTGTGACTCATTTTCAGCTCCAATATCTTTAAAAGTGAAAAATCCCATTGATTTAACAATTTTTTAAAAATTTGTCAAAAAAACCCCGAAAGATTAACAAAAAAAGCTATAAAGGTGAAAATATAATTATATGAAACATAATTAAATAGACACACAGAAAGCACAAAGAAAATGCCAAAGCAAAATACAGAGGAAATCCAGAACATATCATGGAGCGGGAGAGATATAGATAAAGAAAGGGGAGAAAATTGGAATAAGGAAAGAGGAAATAATATAAGATAAAGCATAAAGATTGTAACTGTGTGGCAGGTAACTGGAAAGAGATGAAAACAAGAAGGGAGAGAGAATGAAAGGTTGAAGGTAAACTGAAATGTTTATTAAGTACCCTAAAAGTTAAAACCTCAATTAAAAAAGAGATTTTGATATTTTACTCCTATGAAGAAACATTGTGATCATTTAGATACTCAGTGTTTTACTCCACTAGACATATAATACTTCATAGAACCTAAACATTTTACTGTAAAAATATATAGACCCCTTTCGAGCATATGCTGTCAATATTCCTTTTAAATAGACGTTTTGATGCTTCATAACTTCTGACTACAGGTTCATCTTCCCACATCATGTCAGAAGTTCTCACTGTCCTTTCCTGATCCCTCAAAGCAGTTCTTAGAAAGAGTCTTAGTTTACATTCATTTATAAGATTTTTCTGATTATAAAATGTAGTTTTGTAGTGAAGACTCCCCTTTTTTCTTCCTATAATGCAATATTTATGACATCTTTATTCATTTTTTTAGTTCGCAGAGTATGGATATTTTCTGCAATAATTTGGTACAATCTTAACTAGATTTAGGGCAAAACTGACTTTAAAACAGTAAAGTTATGCTGTAGGTCAGGAACTAAGTACATAAATGGTGAGAGAGCTAGATGGTTTGCTTTCACTTCCTCCTCTTCCCTCCTCTCCACTCTCTCGGGATACCAGCTACAGGCATCACACCTGAATTGCATTTAGTTTACAAAGACCATGTCTATTTTGGGTAGAGATAATAAACTGAGCCTCTCTACCTAGTCAATCTAGCCCTATATTAGTTATCCAGCCCTAGACTCTACAAAATTGGGTGCGCAATATTTGTTCTGCAAGTAAACTGACTTCCTGTGAGTGTTTCTAAGAGTTCATAAGAGTCTCTTAATCTGGCTTTATCAAATTAAAATAATGTGGTACCCAGGACCTATAATTTGGACTTGGCATGATCCCAAAGTGATTGTTTTTCTTATTTAGCCTGGAACCATGATGTCTTATATCACTAAGGAAAAAAAAAAACGGAAAGACTGATATAATAGAAATGAAAGCATAGTTTTAGTAGTTGGGGAAGTGGGGAGAGGAGGACTACAAGAGAAAGAAAAAATTCTTACAAATACATGGGAAAGATGTCAAAACCTTGAAAGAACAACAGACTTTGGAGACTCCTCAACTGCTATCAAAACAAGATGAGCAAACTCTCTGGAATCTCTAGGAAAAGTAACTTTCTGGCGTGTTCCAAAAAGCTGCTAGACACACTGATATATTCTTCGTGGTTTTTATTAGTTTTCTCTTGTTGAATATAGAATGATCTCCTTACTCGTGTCTGTCTCCCGGCTTCCCTACAAATATCTTTTAGTTAGGCATGTACAGTAATAAAGTCTATTTATCCTATCCCTTGGCATTTTTATTCTTTTTAATCAAAATATCCTTTTAATACTTACTTTACACCAGGCCTTAACATCCTATCTAAATCTTCAGGATTGTTGTGCATGCCACATTTGGCTTAATAATTCAATATGTCGACTAACCCATGAGAGGGATTGTGTGTGTGTGTGCGTTGCATGTTTCCAGCTCTTTTGTTCACACAGTAAATATAAACATTGGAATATCTGAACTAGAGATGATCATTGTAAATATTCCAGAAAGCAAATTTCAGACCTTGTCTTCCCACAGAAGCACTGATTTAATAGCCATCCAAGGATGAAAATACCATTATGAGAGTTCTGGAGTCCAGTGGAGAGATTTTAGCATGGCAATGTAGCACAAAACCTGAGAACAGCCACATGGAAACAGGTAAGAAGAACAATTCCACTTTGTTTGTGGCCCCTCCTCTAAGGTGACAGCCCTCAGCACCAAAAGAGACTCCCTGGGTCTGTGATTTCTCCCACAGAGGAAAGAGAGAGCAAAGAGAGCATCTGGCTTCCCCATGCTTTAGGGGCATTGCCTAAGAGGCCCATTTTTGTCTCAACTCGTTCAGAATGCTGAGAGAACCAACACATCTAGATCATATGGGAGCAAATAAAAACAAAGAAAAGTCACAGAGACGCAAAGCCACCAACACACAGGTCTCAACAACCAGTACTGCTGGCTTGCCTGCAGACCTCGCTATTCAGCCTTCTCATGAACCCCAGCAGCCAGTTGTCCACAGACTCTGGCAGCCTGCCTGAGCACACTCCCAAAGGTGTTCCCCTGAGCCCTCCACAGACAGCACATGGAGCTGTTAACCTAAAGATAAATGCCAAAGTGAGAAACAAGCCTTTATTCGAGATCAGAAAGAATAGCTATTTGAGAAGCACTGAAGCAATGATTCAGGCAGAAACCCAAATAGTGTTCAGATTATGAGGTGAAAGCAAGAGCATTTTGTGAGAAAGGTAAGGGACATAACTGCATGAATAGAAAAAAGTAGTTTCTATTGGTGCAAATAAGCCAAGGAAGTGATTGCTGTAGGTGCAAATAAGCTAAGTTATTCTTTAGCTATACCTGATGGTGCTAATTTTGAGAACATCTTTCATTTTAGGTCTTGGAGTCAAGATTCTGCTTTCCTGTTAGCTTTGCAAACAGTTGTTTGAAATACAAAGTTGCTTTGGCCCAGTCCGGAGGTTATTTTGCCCAGTCCAAACACTCCGAAGGTTCAAAAAGCAACACCTGAAAGGCAGAGCAACACCTGCTCTGGAATGGTTGCCTTGGCTCTATTTTAAAACGGCTTCACTTCTGTCAACTTTTCACAGATATCAGCAGCTGGCTTGACTCTGTGGGACTGGTAAAAAGTGCATCACTGATGCTACTACTTCAGGAGGGAGGGAGAGTTGTGGAGATTGTACCTACCTTTCTAGCATAGTAGTCCACTGCCCTGGGAGAAAGGAGTGGGTGATTCTCTGCACTCAGCACAACTCAGTAGGCTAGACTTGAGAATAATCTTTGGCTTCACACTGCCTTTCAGATCCACTGGGACACAGGCAAACCTTCTAGTCACACTAAAGCAGGATTTGTGTCTCCAAGGCTCCAGGCAGCCCTGCCCTTACAGGTTTGGGTAGCCCCACCCTCATGCCTTTGCTGAGCACTGCCCGTGCCATGGATTGGAGTCCCACACCTACCCTTCTCCTGAATTACAATTGCACATCGGTTGCTTGACTGGTTGGGATCTTGGGGCAACTTTGTCCCAAGGCTCCACCAGGCATTACCCTAATGAGGGCTTTCTGTAGCGGTCTCGCCCTCACAGCAGTTCTCTGCCTGGGACCGTCAGCTCTCCAGGGCATCTTTTGAATCTAAGTGGAGGCAGCCATGCCCCATAGTTTTGCTAGGTACAGCACACACCATGCTAGAGGCCACAGGAGCTGCATCTGGGGCTACTGAGGAGCACAAGTGCAGAGAGCAGAGCCTCCCAAGTAGAGCGATTCCAGGTAGCAGGAGGTACCTCCTTTGAAATCATTCTATCATTCTGGCCACAGGCCCATACACTTTGGGCCTGTGTTGGGAGAGGCAGCCTCTATGATCTCTGAAATACTTTCAAGAGTTATTTTTTCATTGGACAGTAGGTCCTGCTTTCTGTTTAGATGGCTGATTAATCTCCGCATTGTTTTGATGAATAGCTCATAGCTTTTGTCAATATGACCAATCCATACTAACCTCATCAAATTCAGTGACTATCTTTGTGTTCTCTCCCAAACAAGCTTTCTCATTCCTTTCAAAGTGGTAGGCTGAGAGTTTCCAAATTTTTAAGTTCTGCTTCCTTTTTGATGAACAATTATGTCTTTAAGACATTTCTTCCTTTTTGCATTATATAATCAGTCAAGAAAACTAGGCCACTCCTTCAACACTTTGCTTAAGTATCTCCTTAGCCAAATATTCAGTTTCATAGTTCACAAGGTTTACATTTTATAAGACACTAGGACATGAACACAATTCAACCAAGTTCTTTGCCACTTTATAATAAGGACAGCCTTTCTTATATCATCCAATAACACGTTCCTCATTTCCATCTGAGAAGTCAACCAAATGATCTTTACCATCCATAGTTCTACCAACATTCTGCTCAAGATTGCATATGTATTCTCTAAGAAAATAGAGGCTTTTTTTCCCTACGGTTCTGCTCTTTTCTTTGTGTGACCTCATCAGCGTCACCTTAAACGGTCCTACTCATGGCAAAGTAGGCTTTTTCTAGCACACACTTCAAAATTCATCCAGCCTATTACTAGTTCTCAAGCCATTTCCACATTTCTTAGGTATCTGTTACAGCAACGCCCCATTTCTTGGTCAATTTTCTGTCTTAGTCCAGGCAGCTATGACAAAATACCATGGACTGGGTGGCTTAAAAATAACAGAAATTCATTTCTCAGAGTTCTAGAGGCTCAATCCAAATTCAGAGTGCCAACACAATCAAGGTTTGGTAAGATCCCTCTCTAGGTTGTAGACTGTCAACTTCTTGCTACATCCGCACATGATAAAAGGGATAAGCAAGCTCTCTGGGATCTCTTTTATGAAGGTACTAATCCCTTTTATAAGGGGTCCTCCCTCACAATTTAATCACCTTCCAAAGGCTCCATCTC